TTTGGAACTACTGGAGCATTTATTGGCCAAGAACTAATATCAAATCATCAAAATACTGCATCAATTAACACTACTATTCCTTTATTCGGACAATGGCAAACTTTAGATGATCAATTATTTACCAAGAACAACACCAATTACCACATCAAATAACCCTTATGAAACTACTACTGAAGAATTTCATTCCTTCTGCACAAACATCGAAACCCAACCTGTTTACGATTATAACCTTCTTCAGGAGACTGCCGAAGTTTGAAGTAGTTTCATAAGGATTAATTAGTGTAGTATTTTGATGATTTGATGTGGTTCTTGGTCAATAAATGATCTGGCAGTTTCAAAAAAAGATTTGTAAGGGTTAATTCTTGGTTAATAAGTGCTTCGGTAATTCTAAGAGAAGGTTCATAAGAATTAATTGACTCGATATTTTGATCATCTGGCATTTGTCTTTGGCCAACGAATGACATGACAATTTCGAAAGAATAGAAAGCTTCGGTAGTTCCGGGCGACCTAGGCCTTCGCCCGCGTCTTCTACCTGGGGTAGTGATACAGTCAAGTCCATATCTTCTACAGTATGTACAAACGTCCCTTTCAGAAAGTCTTTCACACCTTCGGTGTCTCGTTTGACAATTTGTACATAATCTTTGTGGTCTACTTGATTGAGACATTTAAGAGCGATCTGACAGTACTAAATATTGCGATATGAATACGATCCTGGCCGTAAAAAAAATAAAGATCCGAAAAATTCCATCAAAAAGAGCGTTTTTGGCTTCTTTTTATATTTGACAAGATCATATCTTGAGAGTAATAAGATTTATATTGAGAATCGTTTGTACATTTCATTTTTTATTCTTTATCAAAAGTTTTATATAATCGACAGCTTCTTCTTACTAAATAAGTCAAAAAAGCAAAATTTATCTAAATTTTACATATGAAATGTAGGCGCGTCAATCATTTGACTCACAATTAAAAATTTCACACGATCTGCGTGACAAATCGTGTGACTGCTAATTTTACCAAAATTATCACGAGTTTTCAGAGTGAGTTTTTTGAATCTCGTGAGAAACCTGTACACCCCCTACCTCATGGTCAGACTTTCGTCTAATAAAAAATTGCCACAAAGGCTATTTTTCGTTTTAAACGAACGTCAATATTTACTGAAAAAAATAATCTCAAAATAATCTGTAATTTGACTGACTTTGCTTAGAAGACAAAGTATGCCTACCGTTTATTGGACCATATTGTAGAGTGAAGGTAACTGGTAACGTTTTCATCTAAAGCTATTTTATTACGTTAGATTTAGACAAACTTTTGCTTTTAACTGTTTAATTTGAATAGGTACAAGCTCTTAGTAGTAGAAGATTCGGGCTTAATATTTAAATTTGGTCGGTTCTTGTAATGCATTTGGGCTTGTCAACCGTTATATTAATAGATGTAGCTTATATATTGTACGTAGATCTTGTACGTGGATTCTTTAATGAGTTTGGGTTTATTAGTAATAAATATCACATTTACCTACTTTACGCGTATCTATCTATTCTCTTAATATAAGTAATCCATTCTTTTGTGTGTATTTATTAGTTTGTAAGCTTCTTTATTCGAAGTTTTGTTTCGTTTTCTAGTAGTATTAATAAAAATTATTTATTTTGATTGGTTAATTATCACGGGCAATCACGGGTAGATCTACAAAAATTAACCAATCATGTGAATGTCTCCCTATGACTCCCTAAAGTAATTTCTATATTTTCGTAAAAAAAATAACTACGTTCTTAAAAGTTTTTAAACACAAA